CGCGGCTCAAGTCTGCGACTGCCTGTGCTGGTGCTTTCCGGGTTAAGCATTTGGCTCCCCGCTCACGCACATGCTTTAGCAGGACTTCAAAAAAACGCAAACGTTTCCCAAGCAGTTCGCCCCAACCAAGTCGTGCGCACATGGCGATCTTTTCGTTGCTCTGCAGTCGCAGGCGCGGCTTTCAGTGAGTCTGAGTGGAGACGGTTGCCGTTTTGTTTCTCAGGTTTTCGGGGGCAGTGTTTTTGGCGGCGTTGAGCAAAAAAAGAAACCCCCTTACTGGTAGGGGGAAACACAACTTTGTCACCCCGCAAAGGTTGCTTGTTAGAGGCAACTTTGCCGTTTGCAAGCCCTTCAGAACATGGTTGGGCTTGTGGGAAAACAACCAAATGCCATCAACAAAGAAGCACAGTATTTCTGAGAAGATTTTTGGTGGCCCAACACCACTCAACTGCAAGATTCCTTGCAGGCACGTGTGTGCAAGAACGAGGTCTCTTTTTTGGGGGCAACGTGTCAAAACCATAAAGTTTCAACCAAAACACACCCGAACAAGAATATATATGTTAGGCCACGTGTGGATGGCTGACTTCCAGGGAATGGCAGTGTCAGAAATATGTGTGTTTGGCATTACATGGGTCTGGCTTTGTCTGTCCCCTACTGTGTGTAAAACCACAACGCTTCGAAAGGCAACAACGCGCTAGCCTCAAATTCTGTTTATCGTTCACACGGGTGTGTCCTAGACTTGTTTGTTCACCTCTGAAACCATTCATTTGGCTTCAAAGGGGTGTGTTCCCAAAGCTTTCTATGTTCGCTAGATGTTCTGTGATATCTTGGTTTAGGAACCGCAATGGTAATGGGGTAAAAGGGGCCCAGTAAACAGTACCAGCTGTGTGGAGCTCGGACAGCCGCTTCCGTCCAATCCTTGGGCGCAGGACGATTTGTGGTTCAAAAGGTTTTGGTTTAGCCTCGATGGCCAAGCCGCTAGCGGGCTGGAAAACATGGTGGGATGCAGCGCTATGCGAAAAGGTGGCCCGAGCAATCCATCAGCACTTGGATAAGCTACCAGGTCACGGCCAGCTTCTTACATTTGGCTCAACAGTGAGCGCTCAGAACCTGCGTGACCCCCACACGGCCGCGATCGCAGAGGCCCTCCTGAAAGCCTACCCGTTGGAAAAGCAACCAAGCAGCTACATGTTGGGCGATCCTCACTTTGCAAAGACCTGTTTTTAGGTTGTAGCTTTCATCAAAGCTACGAAATGTTTGAGCTCTTTGTGCAAGAAAGGACTGTGTCATGCACTTGGACATTCTTCTTGGGCATGCCCTTCTGGGAGGCCCCAACGAGAATCCCATCAAGGAAAAGGCAAGACGGGACATGGCCCTCACGGAGGGGCAGAAGTGCAAGCTCTTGCTGAGCTATGTGCGCACGCGCGGATTGAAGAACTCGGTTTCCAAGCACAGTGATGTGTCCTACTTGAAAGACTTGGCCAACCGAAGAAAACCATTCATTAAGTCTCCTTCCTCGTGTACCACTTTGGCATTAGGGAGCTCGCCGCGGAGCTTGGATGACAGTTCTGATAAGTGCCTTGTTTTTGATTTGGCAAAAACCAACTGCAAAAGGGAGTGTCGCTACTAGTTTATCTCCTGCGTGATGTCCAAAGTTCTGTCAAAATAATTTTGGTGGCGCAATGCCAAGTTGTTTGGCCGTTTTACAAATGGTCGTTTTAGAGCCGTGGCAGCCCAGCCCCCGCCCGTCAGGTGGGACCAAGATTCTCCAGAGGAGACGGACATCATCGGAAAGACCTTGGAGTTGCTTGGGCTTCTTGCTTGCATTCAACAAGACCCGCGTGTTTTTAGCGCTTGCTTTGTTGTTAAAATTCCCCAAGCAAACCCTTGTGGGCAGGCTGGATCCCAACACTGCGCGCAGCTATGAGCACGTTACTGAAGTGGCCAAAGAGTTGTTTCCAGACCAGGCGCGCAATTCAAAACACTTTAAGCCATTAAAGTGGCTTTACCCCCTGTGGGCCAAAACATTGGAAAGCCAAACAATTCTTTCAACTCTTGAGTTCGCCAGGCCGAGCAGGGTGACAACAAAGATGTGGTCATTCAGGTCAGGGAGGACTCTCCCACAAGCGTCAAAGACTCTTCCACAGGTGTGAAAAAGGAGCCCCTCGCAAGTGTCAAGCCAGAGCCTGACATTGGTGAGGATAGACTCCCCACTGGCCAGCCCTTGCCATCCCCCCCATGCCCCGCAGCCAAGTTGGCCCTGTTGGACATGGACACTCACAATGCTGTGGCCAACCCTTTGGAACAGTTGCGCTTGGTTGAAGCTTCGGAGTGACTTACGGTTATACTGTTTTTTTGATGCAACTCAGGTCACTGTTCAAAAAACCCTCCAAGGGCATTGCTTCCAAAACTTGATGGTTGCCAATGTAAGGACAAGAAGAAGAAACGCGGCAACAATGCCGACGACCAAGTTGAGGCTAAGGATACTCCTGACCCCGACGGGAAGAACCAGACAGCGGCCACGCCAGCCGAGCTCCCTGCAAAGAAGCAGAAAACGGTGCCGGACACGTGCGCGGCCCCAGAGGGAGCCTTGCCGATTCCAGAAGGCACGGGTGAAACTTGTCTCTTCTCTCAACAAACCCTGGTTTGCGAAAATGGGGGCTTACCATAAATGTTCAAACATAGCTTGTTTAGTTTCACAAGAGGTCGTGGCGGGTTGCATTGAAAAGTCATGATGAAGCGCCCATGGTATTAACTCTGAAGGTATGCCAGCTGAAGCTCTCCCTCAGGGGGCGAGGAAAGGGAAGCTTTCGTACACCATCTCAGCAGCTTCGGGCGCACGGGTGGAGGTGCTTCTAAAAGGCACGGCTTTTCGCATTTCCCGCACTGCTCCTGGTTTCTCGACAAATGTCAAGAGCATTTTTCTACTTCCACCCATTCAAGAAACATTCTCACTCCTCAGACAAGCTGAGGTGTGGAGAAACCAACGCCGGCGCAGCACCAGTTTGGGGACGACATTTGCGCTACATGGAGCCGTGTGAAAGAAATTTTGGGGTGGAAGGCCTAACCTCAAGTTGGGGTCTTGTAGCAAGGTCTTCTCGGGTTCTCAAGCCACCAATGGCTTGACTGCAACCAATTTGCAACCAAATGTGCTTAGATGATCTAAGCACTTTTATATTCCCTAGGTGGTGTTGTTGAACACACAACCCAACAGGAAGAGTTGGGCCTGACGCGGCAAGGAAAACACAAGCTCTTGCAACTACGCTCGCACCAGTGTGGTTTAAAGGAAATCAAACCAAGTATGGCTGCACGCGTTCCCTTTCACTACTACGTCCCAAAACGAAACCAAACCGCTTGCGTGTTTTGCGGGCTCCGAGGGAAGCCAAAACACCTTGTTGCACGGGTTCCCTTTTTCTACTTGTATTCAAAGGGATACAGAAAGGGCGTGGGTTCCCTTTCCCATTTCATTTTGCGAGGGCTCCCTTCTTGCGATTGTTTTCAAAGGGAAACCAAGCACACGTGCGGGTTGGAGGCTCCCCTGTCCCTTTGTCTAAAGGACAGCCAAAACACATGAGAATCCCGTTGCTACTTGTTTTTAAAAGGAAACCGAACAGGTGTGGGTGCGCTGGAGGCCCCCTGTTCCACTAGGTTCCCTCATCCACTTGGTCTAAATGGAGCACAAATTCGTGTGTGTGTGTGTTCGTGTCTGTGTTTTTTCCGGGAAACGCTTTGCCCCTTTTTGACTTGTCATGTCCCGGAGGGTGAGGGGGGGGGGCCGGGGGGGGTGGCAGCATCCCCATCACCTGCAACATCCCGCGCGCGCATTTCCAAACTTTTTTTGACAAAAAGGTTGAATTGACTGGACCTCCCCTCCCTCCCCATCCCCACCAGCATCGCCAGCATCATCAGCAACGCACCCAGCATCACCCGCAACATCCCACGCGTTGCCATTCCAACATTTTTTCAACAAAAAGGTTGAATTGACTGGACCTCCCCATTCCCCCCAGCATCGCCAGCATCATCAGCAACACCCCCAGCATCGCCCGCAACATCCCACGCATTGCCGTTCCAACCTTTAATCGACAAAAAGGTTGGTGACTCTGATCCCTGATGCCGCCCTGCCCCCCCCCCCCACCTATTGGGTGGACCCCAAACCCCCCCCCCTTACTGGTCCGGGGCCTTTTGGGGGGACCACAACCCCCCCCCCCTTACTGGTCCGCGGCCTTTTGGGAAAACCAAAGTCAGGTGTGTTTGTATGTTCGTGTTTGTGTGGGTACCTTTCCATTTGGTTTGTGAGGGAGACCCAAAACATGTCACATGTTTTTGCGGGTTTTCATTTTCCTCTTCGGGTGTAAAGGGATACAAAAGCCTGTGTTTCACATGTCTCTTCTTCAAAGGAAACCAAAGCATTTGCGACCTCTTGCGGTCCCATGTCTTCTTGTTGGCAGTCGTTTGGCCCCATATCCCTGAATGTGGGTTCACCAGCCCTTTGGCTGCAATTGCACGGGCCACGCTCATCAAACATCATTGAAAAAAGCCTTGAGCATGCGCCAGCCATTTTGGTCTTTTGTTTACGCACCCCTGACGGCTCGCATGGCGCTGACCATTGAGCACCCATCGAAAGCTCAGCGCGGCGCAGTCGCGAAGCACTTCACAAAGGAGAACAAGAAGTTGCGGAAGGTGGTGAAGCGCAAGGCAAAGGTTGACCTGCCCAAGCCGGCGGAGTCAGTGATAAACCGCATGGGCAGGTGTCTGAAAGGGCTGAGCTCCACCTACAGCCAGGCCGGGGTTACGCTAGATTGTTCACTGAAACAACCCAAGTGTTGGGGAGCTAGGGCTTCATCAAAAAGAGTCACACACACAAGGGTCCCCAATGCTGTTTAATTTTGGTTGCCTTTTTTTTGGCAAAACAAAGGAACCCTTTTGAGAACAGGAAGGGAAAGGAACCCACACACGCAATTGCACACAGTTCTTGTTCCCTGCAGCTGACCTTCCTGCTCATGTGTATGACTGTGGTTGGAGCCCCTCAAGTTGCCATGCAGCTTGTCTCTATGGTCTACCTTGCCTACCAGGCCTCACCTGATGTGCTCGAGCAAACACTCGATTGCTCTGAGTACTTCGCTGGCGGAATGCAGGCCAGTTCTTTTGATGTTCTATCAGCACATGCGTTTGACTCGTCCGTGGTCGTTCTCTATGTTTCGCTTGAAGTCAAAAAGAAGCCATCCCTTCCCAATAGGTGACACGTGCGTGGGCAGAGCTCAGCTACAACGTGTGCCCGTTCGAGATCCTCCTGAACCCGGAAGTCATGGACATCCTGTCTATCAAGGGGCGCCTGGGTAATAAATAATTCACAGCCTTGTTTTTGGCGCTGAGTGCCGCTTTTTGGGAAACAGATTGTCAAACTCAACAACTAGAATTTCGGCTCCACTGACAACACGTTCCAAGGATGATCCTGGCTCTCGTTCTGGCCATCAAAGCGAAGCCGCAATCATTTTCCATGATTGCGACTGTATGCTCGACATGGACGTTCCTTAACAGGTCCACGCCACTTTACCCAAAATGGTCGGCTTTGGATATGTGTTTGCAGTAACATTTTGAGTGTTGAATGTGTGGGGACGTTGCTTGTTGTTTGAAATGTGCTTCACCTACAATCTCTCCACGGAACGGAGAGGCTCGTCGGTAATTTCTTTTGGTTTGTGACTCACAGAGCTAAGGAGTGGCCGCACACTCTGGCGGCTGCTTGGACATGCTTCCAAGCCAGCCATCAAAGCTGCCAACGTGCCGTTGCTTAACGAGGGAACACTTTACCGTAGTTCAAAGCGCAGTTTCTTTGTAACATAAAAGTTTGTGTAACAGCTTTGGAAATCATTTGCTTTTTGTTACCCCGGCAAACGCGTTTTTTCAACACTGGTCTGAGGTGATGGTTAGCCGCATGGCCTTGGTGTTGTGGGTGCTGGAAGCTCGCCAGGTGTTCTGGGTTTACGAACAACCTTCCAGTTCGCTATTATGGCAACACCCGAGGATGCAGGCCATGTTGAAAAAGATGAAGGTATTTAAGTGTTTCACTTGGATGGGCGCCTTCGGCTGTGGCTCGCCTAAAGGCACTTTCCTCTGGAGTTCGCGACAAGGAGTTGCTAACTTCAGCCGAAACCTCCCCAACAAAGAATGGGTGGCTGACATGACCACGAAAACGACCCGGGCCGATGGCTCGGTGTCCATTAGCGGGTCAACTGATTTGAAAAAATCGCAAGCTTATACTAGGGAATTTGGGCTTTCCACAGTGTCTATTTGGCAGAACGAACCGAAGGTGAAACCTTTGTGTCTTGACAAGGTGGTCGTTCCCTCTTTATGGGGGGCTCTGTCTTCTAAAGATCAATGGAGGGATGCAGATTTGAATGGTGTTGTGCAACACTTGGCCACTGGCCAGGTTTAATTGCTTTCAAGCGTTTGTTTCTGCTGTTGCTACTGCAGTGAAATTCAATTGGGGGCAAAGGCGCGCTGGCCCTCTGTCTCACATGCCGGGGAACAGATCAGCAAAAAAAAGGAAGATTGGGTGCTGCCATCAAAGAGTCTGAAATGACAACAAGGTCAGAGAAATCAACCCAAGCAGTTCTTTTGGAAAAGCAACTCCATCCAACCTGCGACCTGCAGTGTCCGCCATGCCTCCGCCAGGCGTAGCTTGGCCTTGGCCCGTCATGAAGCGAGCGGCATCACTTCTGGCTGATGCGGTGCCAGCTGGAGGACGCGGGGATGGGCAGGGCCTTTTACAGAAACCGTTGGAGCGCATCTGAGAATCTATTATATTTTGCATGTGGTTTGTTATAGACCCTAAAGCTCATAGCGCTGAGGACCTATGAGAAGCGGTCATCCTGGGAGGAGGAACATAATTTTATATTTTGCATGTGGTTTGTTCTAGGCCCTAAAAACGTGAAGCCGTGAAAACTCCGTGAAACGGCCGTGAAAACTCGTGAAATTTCACACTTCACACTTATAGCGCTATATAGCCCTCACACCATGCTTGTAACACAAGGTGAAGCTGTAGACCATTGGTTATACCCTGCAGCCAACTGCGTGGCTACAATCCTGGTTAGTTTTAGGGAGCTTGTGTGCCATGTCGATGCCACCGCCTCTGCCTGGACCTGTTTCTGGACAGGCGCGGGGCCGGATCCATGCTCAAATTTGCAAGCTTGTCGGGGTTCCTGAAAGACACACAACCCCAGCAAGTGTGAAGGCTTTCTTTGACCCTGAGCGATATCGGCCCCAGAAACGCTCAGCCGGTGGTGATTGTGGCCAACGCCTCAAGATGACCAAGTCCGAGTTAGCCGAACGCTTTCGCCTTGCGGCCAAGATGAACGGGTACCAAATTGAGGACATCGCAGCCCCTCGCTTGTTCGATTAGCAGTTTTACTCTGAAGCAACCGTTGCTTTGCCAAGTTCCAACCCATCACAACACGTAAGGAACTGATGAGCCCAACAACCGCTACTTCTCGCGCTACATCTGTAGTGTCAGACTCGCAAGTAGCTCCTCCTACTGACTCAGTGAATGATGAGGAGGTTGACAACAACAATGAAGAAGATGAAGACGATGAAGACTGTGACATGGAAGCCTTGGAGGCTGAGGTGGAACAAGAAGTTGCTAGAATGGGTGAAGGTGAAAGTGACCATGGTGATCTTGAAGGTGAGGATGAGGCACCCACGCCCAAGGCAGAAGCAGTGCCCAAAGCCAAAGCCCAGCCGCCCAGAAGCAGTGCCCCAAGTGAGGCACCCACCCCCCCAGCCCAGCCAAAGCAAGTGCCTCAGCCCCCTCCAGCCCGTGCGGCAGTGGCCCACCCAGCTGCCCAAGCATTAAAGCAGGAGTTTCGCACCCATCGCACGCGAAGGCCTTAGAGCAGCTGCCCGGCAAGCCCCAAATGGTTGCTCTGACGCACCCTGCGCAGCAGAAAGAGCCGCCTGCGACCCCGCCAACTCGCACAGCGCCGCCTGCAACCCCGCCAGCTCGCACAGAGCCGCCTGCGACCCCGCCAGCTTGCGCAGAGCCGCCAGCCCCCGTAGCCCCCAAAGGCACACCAGCGCCACTGCCTGCAACCACGCCACAGGGACCAGCCACACCAAAGGCAAATGTGCCTCCAGTCACACGCACACCAAGTGGTACCTTGTGTGTGCAAACGCCACTGCCCGGCCAACTGGCTGCAGTGGCAGCATGTGGAGCTCTCAGCGCCCCCCCGCCCAAGTGCCCCACGCCTGGTGCCCGGCCAACGTCGGTCACACACCGCAAGGAGTACATGTCCTTTCTGCGAGCCGCAAAGAACCCGAGCAAGATGCACAAGTCCCTGAAGCCCATGTTTCAGTCGTCTGAGAGGACAGCACCGCCAGCATTATTTCATTCTCCGCATCACCAGCGCCACACCGGTCCCTCCAAATTGATAGGGATGATGATGATGATAATGATGATGGGGGTGATGATGATGTTGATTGTGATTTTGCTGGTGGAGATGAAGATGAATAATAACATGATGATATTGGCGACATGTCGTAAGATCAAAGAAACTCGCAACACATTGAAATATCAATGCCGAGTTTCTTAGGGGTGTTTCTGGAGGGTGACCCTGGGGTCGAGCTGGCCTTTGCGCCCTCTACTGAAACCCTTTTAGGACCGATCTGTTTGCTCTCTGGTTGGAGAAGGGCAAGGACTTCGCCAAGGTTCTGGTTGAGGTCAAGCGCCGCAATACACAACGCTTGAGCAACTCCACCCGTGAGACATGCTGGAGCAGAAGGCAGTTGGAGCTGGATGGAAGGTATAGCGCTGAGCCTTGCAACAATTACTTCGCCTTTCCAGTTGTCCGCGTCAGCGTTTGGGTCTTTGAAGGGCTTGAATTCCAAGGGTGGAACCGGGTTGTCCTTTGTGAGGTTTGTATGTGAACAAAGTCAACCAAGGCTGAAATTGACGACTTCATCCAGAGAGCGACCCAAGCTGGCAAGTACAAGAACGATCCCAATTTTCCCAATAACGAGAAGCTCCGCCAGTACTACCTCTGCGTTGACACATCCAGAACACGAGAGAACGTGAGGGAAGATGAACAAGTTCTTTCGGGGCAAGTGGAGATCGACGCAGCCGACGCAGCGGCCCTCACCGAGCCCGGCGGCGACTTTGCTGAGGCCGCCGGCATCAACATGATCGATCAGGATGGGCAGCAGGAAGGCACTCCTGCTCCGGCGCCAAAACCAAAAAGCAAGGGGAAGGCTAAAGCAAAGGGTAAGGCAAAAGCCAAGGCTGCTGCCGACCCTTCAGCCGATAACGGAGGGGAGCCTGAGGTTGAAAAGGAGACCACTCCCTTGGAACGGGCGAATGCTCTGAAAAAGGCAGTGTGGCTTGGCTCTAGCAAGCGTTGTTTCAAAAACATTCTGCCAGTTCTTTTTTGTTCCTACGGTCTACGCGCTTTTGGCTTTCCTTCAACCATCGCCTGAGGCTCAAAGAGGCAGAGGAGGCCAGGTCCCTCCGCATCTCTATCGAGGAGTTGGAGTGCAGCGCTGAGTTGTGCGAAGCCCTCACCATTCACGCGGATGCCATGGTTGAGATTTACCGGGAGTTGAACAAGCTGACAGCCGCTTCTGTGAACATCGAGGATGCCTACGCCAGCATCTTTGAAACCGCTTCATCGTACACTGCGTGGTACAAGACCCGCAAAAAGGTGGCCATGTCAATGCGCCAGGCGGCTGAAACGCAACAGGCGGCGGCAGAAGAGCCAACCGCTACGTAAGCCATTTGTGACTTCATGGCATTTTGATGGGACCCCTTTTGACCTCGCAGCCCAAAATGTTGTTTGCCTCGGTTGCATAACCGCACGAACATTTGCTTAAGAACCTTTCATTGAATCCTTGTTTTTTCAAGGGTCCCAGCCAGCCATGAGACAGCGCTTCCTTTGCAGCGCACTCCAAATTTGGGGCGAGTGCGCCTTTAGATGCAGCCAGGAAATCCTGTATGATCTATCCAGAGGCGCTGCTTGGCGCACCTCTGCAGTCGTTGTCCACAAAGATTGCAAACCCTCGTCAAATCGTTTGTGCCTTTGAAATGTGACAGTCAAAACATTTTGTTGGGCTAGGGAACCATGGCTTTGAATATTTCTGTTTTGTTTTTGGTTTGCGGCAAGCCTCATCAATTCCCCGAACTTTGGGTGGGAAACCAAAAGAATTGTCGTACGTGGGGAAACCTTCCCAAGTTTGTTGGTTGCAGGCAACCCTGGGTAAACCCTCGTCAACTCATTTCCCTGTATTTCGGGTGCGCAGACACAATATTTTTTGTTTTCAGCAAGTTTGCCAACAAGCTGAGTTTCAATAGCCAAGGAACTCCATGTCAGCACAGCCCAGCGATACTGCAACGCTGCTTTTATGGATGGCCTCAACGAAGATACTATCAAAGATCTAGCGAGCCTAGCAGCTTGGGGGCGGTTCCAGTCGAACACCGAGAGAGACTTTCACAGGTGGATGCCCTTTGCCATGGGCACACACTTGCAAACTCATGTTTGCGCTATCCCAACTTTCAACCCAGACACCGGGTTGGAGGAACTCAAGGAACTGCCAGTTCTTCTAGCTAGTGACGTTCTTTCTGCAATTTGGGGTCGCCAAAGTGGTGCCCTATGGGAAGCTTGCATAGGGGCAACACCAGATTCTGCCCGGGCATTCTGGAATCAATCGGCGGACACTTGGGCCTCCTCGCACCCAGTCATCGAGCCAGCTGGATGCGCCAAACAACGTTTGAATGTGTGAGTTTGAATTTGTGAGCATTTTTAGGTTTAGTAAAATAGGAGAACAGGGCCAGCTGTCAAACGTTGTTTGGCGCGCCCGGCATCTGAGGTCAGGCCTTGAGTGTCGGGCGATTCCAGCCACCAGGCTGCGTGCGGTTGTGTCTTCTTTTGAAGGTGGAATGTTGCAGGGAGCAAAAAGCAACCATTGTGGAGGTGCAAACAATCCATGACGCTCGGTTTCCATTTCTTCTCAAGTTTTGGGCAACTCAGACTTGCGGCTTCAAACTCAGCTCTTAACAAGAGTACCTCTTTCTTTGGGACTCAACCTCGGTTGTTCTTCAAGTTTGACACTTCCCCATTTCTAAACCAAGGTGAAATGGTTCACGGACGGCGCTCAGTTCAACACCAACCATGAGCTCCTCGTTTGGATGTGGAGCAGCACGATGGCAACAAAGAATTGGTGCACAAAGTTCCCCATAGCGATTATCCCCATGCGGCTTCTACCAACAAAATCCCTGAAGGCTAGGGCCAACCGATCCATTGTTGAGCTGATCGCGTGGGATAGCAACTTGCGTGCATTCAGGGCGCCTTTTCTTTTAGGTGGTTGAATCAATCAAACAATTTCAGTCTCTAATGTTTCGATGGCTGACCTGAGGCGAGTCGTTGCTCAGGGGCACTTTCCCGTCTGTGGACCAGTATGGGAACGAGCTCAAGGGGGCACGTGCGTTGAAAGCTGGAAAAGAGATAGCTGGTGGCTGGAGGGCTGCCTTTGAGAGCTGGACCGGGGACTGGAAAGAAAGGGCTTTGAGCCACAGTTTTGTCAAAAGGAACTACCAAAGCATGAGACTTTGTGACCAATGTGATGCCATCAAGCCCTTCGCCAAAACTCCTCCAAACCTTATGCGCTTGATCTTCAGCGATTTCAGCGAGGGCGCTGCGTGGACCCAAACTCTTCGTGACCACACGACATACCTACAGCAAACCCCTTGTGCAGAAGTGACACCGTGGGTGGCAGTGCCAGGGTTTACCATTGACAGGGTGAAGTTCGAGGTTGCTCACACAGTTCTTCTTGGGACGGGAAAGGATATCGCTGCGAGCTTTCTGGTGGATTTGGAACCCTACCTGACTGTAGCAGTGTTTTCTTTACGGTCAGTAATCGCAAGTAGAAAATTCTCGTTTAGAGAATGAAATTGGCACCGAAGGTGGAGCTGCCTATCCTTCCACGATTGCATGAACAGGGAGTTGTTCTTAACTCTCTTCAAGGTGTGCCTATGCCAGTGGACCCAACTGTTGACAAGGGCAACGCGCTCATGAGCAAGCTTGGCATGGCCTTTCGGAGGTGGTGCAAACGCAACAAGGTTGAGAAGCCCCCGCAAACCTGGAACATGCATTTGGTCGGGCGTAGCGAGACGAATACAGTGTACCCAAATCTGGATTCCAATGTGAAGGCTGCTCACACGAAACCGATCCTCTTCTTTCTTGCCGAAGTCGCCAAAGAGATATCTGATAATTGCGATTGCGCCTGGTTTGCAAACAAAGAAATTTGCTCTGAATGTTTCTTATTGTTGAACTGCTTCTTGTGTGATAGAGTTCTTTCTCAACCTCCCAGCTCAACATTTTCAGGCTCTGGGTGCTCCCTTCGATCCTTGGCTCTATGGGGGTCGTGCGAGTTCTTATGGGTAACAGACCGGCCTGCGCTTTACCTGGGGCGCTCTCTGGCGGACAAAGCTTACCACGCTGGCACGGTGGCGTTGCGGAGTTACTCAAAGCTGTCATCACGATGTCTGCAAAGCGAACGGTTGAACTACAAGTTGCGACCAAAATGGCACCTTGGCATATTTTAAGTCCAAGTCGAAAAGTGAGGGTTATTTTTGCTAACGATTCACCAAATGCAGGGATATGGTTTCGGGCTTAAACTAGGCAAGCCTGCCCACTTAACCCTCCAACACTTCCAACATTGTTGAGTTAACACTCAGGCACGCGTGGGCGCACATCGTGCTCGGGTTCAAGACCAGTGGGGAGAACTGCAGAAACCACAAGACGTTGAGCGAAGAAGACATGCTGGGAAAGCTGACTTCCTTGGCAAGCTCTTGTCACGGGGCAAGTGTAGTTGCACGGTTTTTCCAGCGTTTTGGCATCTTCCTTGCAATGCATTGGGAGAAAATAATCAACAGCTCGCACGAGCTGCCCGAAAGTGGCTAGCTGTGCTGGGCGGCCGGGCACGAAGACGCGCCGCAGGCTTCGCGAAAAAAATCTCACCTGCAAGCCTTTCTGGGCAAGGCAGGGGCTTTAGCGACAAGAAGGCCAAACGGCTAGAATAGTTTAAGGTTTACCCTTTCAGTGGCATGGGCCCCTTTGTAAATTTTGGAACCGCCGTGCCCTTTTTTAGGTTCTGGAGGTTTACCCCTGGTATGCCCCTTTGAAAAGTCGCAAACACATGCCCTGAAAAAGGCAATCGTGCAGACACACTCACACACACACACACGGCGCAGCCATGCAGACACATAGACACACAAATGCGAAAGCAACCTTACACACACACACACACACACACACACACACACACGCGCACGCGCGCGCGGACACGCACACGCACACGCGCACGCACACGCACACGCGCACGCGCACACACGCGCACGAGCACGCGCACGCACACGCACACGCACACGCACGCGCACACGCACACACGCAGACCGCCGCAACACAGACGCGCAGGAAGCAGGCAGGCAGGCAGGCAGGCAAGCAGGCAGGCAGGCAGCAGGCAGACAGAGAAACAAACAAACAGACAGAGACAAGACGCAGACGCAGACCGACAGCTTAGCAACACGCAGAGACACACAAGACGTAGCACAAACACATTGACAGACAAGGTCAACCCGAGCGACAGACAAACCCACCAACAGAGATACCCCGACATGGCAGGCAGGCAGGCAAGCAGGCAGGCAGTCAGGCAGGCAGAGAGGCAGGCAGGCAGACAGGCAGGCAAAGACCGTAAACACGCACGCGCGCAGACACACACACGTTGTGGGTTTCGCTTTGCTTTGTGTTCGCTTGTTGGCCATGTTTTAGCGTGTCGCTGCGCATGCCTTTCGTTTTTTCGCGCGCGCGTGGGATTAAGTTGAGAGCTTTGAAGCTGCGCTGGCTTCGCGAAGCGCTGCGTTCCCTACATGGGCAACTTGTTTGCTAGAGACTTCCGTTATCCAGCTTCTCTGGAGCATGGTATGTCTGGCAGGGCGGGCGGAGAGCGCGCTGCCATTCCCGCACGTTAGGGTGTGGTAAAGTTAATCAGGCTGCGTGACCCGTGAAGCCTAAATAGCTCACGAGCACACAAGTAACTTGGGACTCGGATCCTCCTGGTACTGCTTCTACTTCTGCTTCTGCTACCCTTACTACTAACTACTACTACTCCAATTACTACTACTACTGCTACTACCACTACTACTACTACTACTACTACTACTACTACTACTCCAACTACTACTACTACTACTGCTACTACCACTACTACGACTGCTACTACTGCTACTACCGCGACTACGAGTATTACTACCACTACCACCGCTACTACCGCTGCTACTACTACTCTACTGCTTCTACTTCTGCTTCTGCTACCCTTACTACTAACAACTACGACTACAACCTTGACTTCTACTACTACTACTACTACGACTACTACCTTTATTATTACTACTACTACTATTACGACTACAACCTTGACTACTACTACTATTACTACTACTTCTACTACTACTACTATTCCTGCTTCTGCTGCTGCTGCTGCTACTACTCACTACTACCACACACATCATTCTGAGTCTGTAATCAGTGCCGTTTTGCACCTAGCCGAATCATACCCGCGAATCATACCCGAATCATACCCGGACAATGAGCTTCCCCTCCCAAGGCTAGTGCTAAGTCTTTTTCACAGCGTCCGCACCACTACAGCCGCGGCTGCTCATGCTACAGCTGCTACCACTACTTCTGCAACTGCTACTACTACTACTACTACCACAGCT